CCAGGTCGCGTGCTCACGCTTCAGGGACGTTAGTGCGCTTGGGCAGCTCACGCGCATGCACGCGCATGTCCCGGGCCTTCTTCGTGGTGGTGGCCTTGGCCGCAGTCGACGTTTTAACCGTCGTCGTGGCCACGGCGTTGCCCTTGGTGGCCCAGTATGCCGAGAGCCAGCCATCGACGTCGCCGTGGTGGTTGTAGGGCTCGAGCTTGGCCAGCTGCTCGACGCGGTCCTTGACGGAGAGGTACGTCGAGCCGCTCGCCATGTCCTTGCGGGCTCGGTAGTCGGCCTCCATGGGGTCGGCAAAGGCCGTCTCGGGGTAGCCGAGGTCCTCGAGCACGCTGACGTTGAAGGCGGCCATCATCTCATGGTCCTCGTGGATCAGGTTGTGGCAGTGAAACATGTAGACGCCGGGCCAGGGGGCGTAGTGGGCCTCCACCGTCACGGTCTCGCCGGGGCCGAGCCAGACAACGTCCTTGAGACCCTCGGCCTCGTAGTTGTACACCTTTTGCCGCTTGCCGCCGGTGCGCTTGAGGACCCGGAAGTCGACGAGGTGAATGTGGATCGGGTGGCTCCAGCCGCCGGACGAGTTCTCGAGCTCCCAGACCTCGACGAGGCCACGCTTGGGCCTGGCGAGCACGCGGTTCTTGACGTCGGCAAAGGTTACGCCGTTGATGCGCCAGTCGCTGCCCTGGCGATGGAAGAGGAAGTGGTGGTCGACGCCCTGCTTGTGCGGGGGGAAGTCGACCTTGCGCAGCGCCGTGGGAACGCTGGACGAGTCGGCGGGACCGCTGCCGGCAACGACGAAGCGCATCACCTTGTCCGTGTGCAGGAAGTCCTTGTCGGGGGCGAAATCCTTGGTGTTGCGGAGCGTCACGTTCTGGCCCTTGAAGTTGGTAAAGTCAAAGACGACCTCGTACCGCTCGGCCATGGAGATGTAGAGGTCCTTGGCGTTTTGGGGGCTCGTCAGCAGGCCCGTGTCTGAGGCGATGACCTGGAAGTCGAGCTTCGTGCCCGGCTTCTTGCTGGACTCGAAGTAGAGGAAGAACGTGCGCGAGATGGCCGCGTTGAGGAAGCGGAGGCGGTACTTGCGCGGCTCGACCTTGAAGTACGGCCACGGCTGACCATTGACGTGAATGACGTCGCCATAGAGGCTGTCGTCTACATTCGCCGGCGAAAACAGGCTGCCGTCCGAGTTGTATTGCTATGCCATGTCAGTGACTGGGATAGTGTGGCAGCATTGGAAGATCAGACGTACCTTGGCCGACAGGATCATGGGAATGTCGTACTTGCCGTAGCCGCTGGGCAAGCCGAGGGCATCTTCTGCGGCGTCATGAACCAGGTAGGCACCTGCCTGGCCAAAGTACGCATTCTCAGCCGTGTGATCGATGGCATGATCATGGTACCACATCATGCGGCCGTTCTGGCAGTTGGGGTAGTAGTAGTCCTTGTACTCGCCAGGCTCCGTGGTATCTTCAGCCCAACCATCAAAGGGAGTGCGCTGAACAGAGTCAGTATGGTAGTCCGCCAGCACAAGTGCCGGTCAGTGTTGACGTACAGAGTAAGACCCGTGAAGATGAACAGAGTTGGCTATCTTGGCGTGGTTGATGAAGCGGACGACCGACTCGCCATCGCGCTCCTCTAGAAACGTTGGCCCTGGCGATATACCGTCGTAACCGACAAGCTTGGTGGGCTTCTTATTAGGATACACCTGAGAGGTGAACTCCTTGATCTCAACCTCATAATACTTGACCTTTTGCTTGGTGACAGGGTTGAGGATGGTTTGGCTTGGCCTGTGACATTATGAGTGCCGTGAACGAGTACAAAGGATACGGCTTGCAGAGGGACGTACCATTTCTCCTGCTTCACAGGAGGGATGGGAAGGGGGAATTGGTAGAGCCACTTGTACTCAGGACTGAGCCAGTCCTTGGCTACTGACTCGGAGGCCAGAGAGAGAAAGACCACAAAGGTCTGGCGCAGCGAAAGCTGAACCATTGTGAACAAAAGAGGCAGAAGACAGAGAAGCGACCAGTGCGGCGGCTGCAAGCCACAGGGCTTAGAGGATGTTCCGAGAGGAAAGGTTAGGCCAGACTCAAGGAACTTGGAGAGATGGGGGGATCCGGCGTGGCAGTTGAGGGCTTGGGGGGGCTGAGGTCAGGAGGCTGTTTGAGCAAATATCAATGTCAAGACACGAGATCCTATGGGGGTATTTGAACATCTCATTGACCCAGTCCATCTTGAGCACGATGAGGAAATTTGGCCACGGGAAGTCCGCATCTCAGCCTGCCGCCCCCTATCCGATGAATCGACCCATCACCGGCTCCAACATGGCCCAGACACATCCTCGGATAGGTGACTCAAGCTTTTGATTTTCTCAGCTCGCTCGATAGACCGTTCATAATAAGCTCACGCGAGCGGTGAACGCCCTTTGAAGCGAGGGAACAGTCCAGACCAGCTCCCCATCGTACAAGGCTCCTGTCATAACTGAGACAAGACAGGCCTGCAACCCAACGACGTGCAGATTTGACGGCGTCCGACATGTCGGCCCCGCGGCCGGGCCAGGTAGGCGAGATGGCGGCCCAGCAGATGATGGAGGCTGACACTAGACCAGGTAGGGCTTGTATCCATTCGACTAGAGGACAAGGTATGGGGGTTGATGGGGGCCATGGGGCGTTAGGCGGCGGCGAGGCGTGAGAGTGAGAGGCTGACTGTAGGGGTGTTGGGCTGAGAGCCATGGAATAAAGAGCCAACATGGCCTGATGCTCCAAGCTTCGACTCTACCTATGGCCGTTCACGAGGCCAAAGCTCATGCTTTGCCCTTGGTGTGCCTGAATCCCATGTTGCCGGGCCCTCGGCGGCTTCAACCGTAAGACAAGCCAACGGTTCTGAGCCCCGACGACCAGATGGCGGGGAGGAGAATCTCTTTGTTCGAGCCCTACTACGGCTATCTAGTTTCGACACGTGTGGCCAAGAGGCCAAGAGGCCAAGAATCCGGGGCAGCAGTTGGGGCAAGATCCGGGGAGCTGGAATCGCCATCTAGCCGAGATTACTCACGGCTTCACATCTTGCCCTTATTTCGGGAGCTTGACTTTGTTCTTCTTTGCCTAGCTCTAGAGACAATGTCCAGATGCGGTCAGCAACACAAAGAAAGGGTCCAAGTGGCGCGTCATTCAGCCCAACAGCCGCGCCATGCACCCTTTCGATAGTGCGAAGCTTGGGAGGCAACAACGGAATAGGGACTACGCTAGAGTCGCCATTGGTTCATTCTCTGTAGTCAGCAGAGGACTCACTGGTCCAGCCTCGACTTCTCGAGTCACGGGAAGAAGCTCCCCAGAAGATAGACTCGCTGATGAGCGCTTCATTCGGCCTCGCGGTACCCAGCAAGCTGGGGTCATCCATGTTGTCCAGGCCTACCCCTGCCCCTGGAACCCCCTCCCTGTTCCTCTCCCGCTCGTTAGTTTCGGGACACAAACCAATCATTGGCATCATGATCCTTCTCACTGCCGCTGGAGCCCTCCAGCTGGGAGGCTGGCAGGCTGGCAGTCAGTAGTGCAACAGAGGACGAACGGCATACGGGGAGGCGGAGAATCAGTGCCACGGTGATCCTGGTGATGAAGTGTCAGGCAATGTGGTATTTGACGCTGGCGTCTGCGCGAGCCTCCTGCTGGGGCTGTCACTGCAAGACCAACACCAATAAATCGATGCAGCATGTAGACGTATCGCCAAGTCATCAGGCCATCGATGCCGCACTTCTCGAGGGGCTGTTGGCGTCGGGGAGGCGTCAGAAGCGGCCGTGAAGCAATGTGAACGGATGGAAGGGATCAGAAGGCGAGCGCCTGGCCATTGCTTGATCACTGACTTGCTTATTCGGAGGACGCCGATCCCACCACCCGCACTTCTTTTCTCTTGCTCGCCCGACACGTCGGATTGACAACAACCGGCCGCTAGCGAGCGCCTGAAAGCCTCACAGCAGGGGAGGATACGAGAAGCCTCAGCTCGCCTACAATGTCTCGATATAGCATGGAGGCAAACTGGATAGGATCGTGCGTGTGGTATTGTGAGCTGAGATATCCACTGACACGTTTTCCTCCGACAAGCTGCATCCCACAGTTGTCCGTGGTAGCTCGCTCGCTGGGAATGCAACCACATCTTCGGTACGTGATCGCCAGCAGTGACAGAGACAAAATTGCCGACGCCTGACTAGGGCCGCAGTCGCGAATCGAGCACACCCACTACCGAACCAAATACCCCGTAGCCACCTAGTCTAACCGCATTGGAGCACTCGGCAAAGGGTCCTGTCGACAAGGCAGGCCAGAACTGACGACCGGCTTTGCTGAGCCGCCATAAGGGGCAAGGTCCATTCTGGTCCGTACTGCACCTTGTTATCAGGGCTAGGTGATTTACATCCACTTGAACTTAATCTTTATCCCGCGTTCTAGCCGGTCACTCCGCGGGGAGCTTCCGCTCTGTATGAGGTCGACCTGGATCCCGTTTACCAGCAGCACCAGCGTCCATGCGGACTTGATGTGCCTCGTGGAACATGCAAGCCCACGGCCTGTCTAGCGACAATACTCCAAGTTGCTATTCTCGATCCGTATGCCCACCCACGTGAAGTTCAGCCGACCGCTGGTTCTGGACTGAACTAAGGCATCCAGAAACTCGGGCGACGCCCGAGGGTCATCCTGGTCTAGATTCCGGGGGCGCTTCCTACACCTCTATCATATCCCTGTGCATATCTCTCCTGACATGGGCCCCTTGAAACTATCGGCAGCTAACATGAAGCTCACGGGGATGGATATCCTGGTGTTGTGCTGGACTTGCAGCCGTTTTTGTGATGCCCAAAGATATCTTCAAATACCAGCCAAGAATCCCCGAAGATTTGGTTTCGAGAAGAAGCTTCTCTTAGACCATCATCACTTGCTCCTCCATCATCTCATTTACGCCTCGGAATCAAGCTACTTACCAGAAGATACATACTGGTGTCGGCACCAACCAGACCCACCATGGCTTCAGCTCGATTTATCCTGCTGGCCGTTGCAGGCGCAACCTTTTCAGTCCTTGGGGTCAACGCCCAGGACGTCCCTTTTACCTACAACGGCGCCTTCGAAGGGTAGGTCTTCTATCTCTCCTTGAACAAGTCACACAGACTTTCACAAGCCTCCTCTGCCGTTAGTCTTGCTGACGAAAGCCACCAGTGCGACGGCCTCCTCCACAGACTTCAACTCGGGAGGCACCATCCGTGTCAGCGGCCACAGTGTCACAGTGCCCAAGAACCTACAGATTCAGTTCCCAGCCGCGTGGGTTGGCTTCAAGGACTTTGCTGGCGGCAGTGCTGCATTTGATGAGTATGAGGTTGAGGTGACCGGCAACATTGTCGGTGGCACGCCCATTGCTGCGCAGATCTCCATCGCGCAGTACCTCCTCGCCGGCGCCACCGGCTTCGTTGACACTGTCAGCTTTGATGGCCGCATCAAGATCAAGGGCGGACCAACCATTCGCATCAATGATCCCAACGCCGTCTACTCGGCTGGCTACACTGCTCAGCCCTTCTTCACAGCCGATGATGCCAACCCCAGCATCACCGCCTTCTCTGGCTTCCCCATGTGCGTGCCCAGGAAGGCGGACGACCCTCTGTGCCCTCAGAGCAACCGACCGACTCTCACCGGCGGTAGCAAGCAGGGCAACTTGTGAGTTCATCCACGAATTTTCGCCCTATGACTCTCATGTGCTGACACAACCCGATGCAGCCCTGCCCCTGACCCTCTTGTCATGGCTCCAATCGTCCCTGGTGACTATCTCGAATACAGCGGCATTCAGGTAGACGGCGAGATCGTCGTCTACAACATGGTCGTTAGCAACGTGCAGATCACCACCACTGGAGTTCCTACCTACATCCGCATGGAGGATGCTATTATTGGCGTCTTCTCCAGCAACGGCGACCAAGAAACAGCCCAGATCAGGGTAGGCCTCTAGCACCTGTCATCATGGGCTCCTCAACTGACGAGAATAGTTCATCGGAGTCACTTCTGACGGTGCTGCCAATGTCAACCCCATCAAGGTTTATGCCATGGACGTGGATCCCTGCACTGGTAAGATCACGGATCGCGAGGTCGCCGCCACCAGCATGATTGCCGGCTCCGCCCGTAACAAATTTGATTACCGTGTCAAGGCAACGCAAACCCAGGAGTACACGCGCGAGTACCGCATCGTCGCCGGCACAGGCACGCGCAAGACCAAGAACGGCATCCTGGCCGGTCAGTATGTCATGCCCGTGTCGGAGTGGATCCAGGCCGAGGCCACGACGCCGGGCCTCGCTCCGTTCGCCAACAACTACCGTAGCTTCCCGACTCTCACCAAGGGCCTGGGCTACGACGACAAGAACAACCTCTGGGGGCCGCTCAGCCCGTTCCCCCAGTCCGGCGTTACCGTGTCTGATCCGACCAAGTGCCCGCCCCCTGCCACAGAGGAGCCTCCCGCAACCGGTGGCGGCACCACTGGCGGAGGCACCACCGGCGGAGGCACGACTGGTGGCGGCGCGACTACCCCTCCCGCCACCACCAACGATCTAGTTACTATGCCGACCTTCACCTGGATTTCTTCCGGCGGCGGCACTCTGACCATCTCATGCCGGTCGAGCAGCACCGATTCCAAGGTCGCCATGAAGCTGAGCTACATCAACAGGAACGGCGCCACGAACGGCGCCACCATGACTGCTGGCGCCAACGGCGTGTGGAACTTCAACGCGCGGAGCATCAAGCAGCCTACCTCGGTAACCTGCACCAGTGGTCTCGGCGGCAAGGTGACGCGCACAAGCTAAATGATGCCCGCCTGACAGATCCGTGTCAGACCCTGGAGCGCAGGGTATTCATCTCATTGGGCGTTTGGGTTTTTTTCTGGGAGTAAAAGGTTTCATAGGCTAGCGAAATAATACCAGAGCTTTCATAACGGCTTAGGGGTGCTTGGCGTGACGTTTCCGTGAGATGTGACTCTGGGTCGTTTTGATCCACCAGTCTTGGTCATGCAGAACGGTTCAACACTTGACGCAAGCGAGTGAATGTATGCGTGGAGCCCCTCACCACGTCTCGCCCAGGACCGCCAGATTCGGCAGCTGCCATTTAAAGTTGGTCAGTAGAGCCCCGGCAGAACTGCCCACTTCTTGCGAATCTTGTCCTCTCCGAACTGCTCGGCGTACCACTTTCGTCCCTTGATGGCTCTCGGAAGCATGGCAGCCATCTCATTGATGAGGAAAGCCCGCGCTGGCACCGACCAGCCGGAGGCCATCCAGAAACCGAACCACTCGATCCACTCGCAAAGATAGTGAGGGTACAGCATGTACCTGAACAACAGGGTGTTGGGCACACGGTAGTGCTTGTCGACAGTCGGCCTGGCGTCTCCGTTCTGCTGCTTTTCGCGGGCGACGCCTTCCTGTCGCCGCTGCTCCACGCGGCGGATCTCGCGCAGCTCCTCATCGTGAATGTAGTTGCCGACGAGGCCGAAGTAGAAGATGGCGATGCCAGCGACGAACTGCGCGGTGCCGAACGGCGCGAGGGCGGCGGACCACTGCGCCTCAGTGGTCGGCCCGTACGCCGCCAGGTAGGCGCTTATGCAGGTGCCGTTGACGAGCTGGAAGCTCGTGGCGAGCACGGCGACGAGCGGATGGATCGGAGACATGGACGGCTGGATGAAGGGGAAAATCACTGCGCGATAGGAGTAGTGAATGACCTGAGAACGAGAAGAGAGAGAGCGCGCGTCAGCGACAGGCGCGCCTCGGCAGCCAAGGGGGGTTGTGGACGAACAAAAAGACCGGCAAGCACTTTGTTCTGCCACGGAAGGTCCGTGATGCCGGAGAGGCCGGGCAGCGTTCTCATGACATAGAGTAGGATGGAGAAGCCCGGAATCTCCATGAGGAACCACGCAACGCGGCCGGGCAAGTTGATACGGCTTTTGACCGATGTCTTACCCATACCATACCATGAGATGAGGTACTGTAGAGAACCGAGCTGAAGGCGGAAGTCAGTCCATGTTGTAATGAATGCAGAGCATGGCTCTTCATTCTACAACTCACGATTGGGTACGAGATTTGCCAAACGGTCAGAATGGTCTTCCAATTCTCCCTCGTCGGAGGAAGCCAATGCTCAATGAGAGACATGATGATGTACACGCCGTTCAGTATCAGGAAATGGAATTGAACGGGTGTGAAAAGGCTCGATGCGATTGACTCTGAATGAGGGAGGAGGTGACGCCGTAGGAGCCGTCACTGTTGATGTCACCAGCAAAGACACGCACGGTAAGGCGGTCAGTGCCAGGTCCAAGAGTGGGCCTGAGTCGCTTGACGGAGGTTCATTTCGCAAGGAAGCTTATTTGAGGACAAGAGGCCATGTTTGAAGATGGAATGCGCCACTCCATCCAACAAGATTCCATAACAGCGCACCTCGAGTCAATTACACAGCAGTAAGATGTGCTGAGGGTAGGTCTTGACCATGTCGGTGTAGCCCCTCGGTGTAGGCCTCGTTGCCTCTAATCCACCCACGGGTATACCATGCATCCGGAGCTTGACCGCAGTTGGTGCATCACGTGCAGTTAGCTCCTGGCACACTTGTACGTCATGTTGTGGCTGATGCTAGTGTAGAGTGGGCTGGGGCAACGGCGGTCGTTGGAAAGGACGGTTGGTCGGTTAGTGTACATGCAAGACATGGTACTGTCAACGCACCCCCAGACCAGGTATCTTCTCACCAGATCCCCATCTCTTACTGGAGTTGCAACCATTACATGACCTGATTCGTCTCCGATTTGAGAGCGGGGGCTGGAGCGAAGCAGCTTTTCCCACTCAAGTGCTGTATTGACGCTCGAGTCATCCGGAGTAACCATTGCCAGTAAACCTGCTGCCTGGTCAGGCCTGGATGCCCCTCATTTTGGTACGTACAGAACCCACATACTATCGACAGGGTCCCTGCTCCCCACCAGCCTCCAACCCAGTGACATCTGACCCTGGACTGCCAGACCTCAGTCATCTGCGTCCCGCCTCCGCCAGCTTGCTGGCACCGCCACCTCACGGAGTCTGCGTACAGCTTACAGCGTTCGCGTAGCTGGTCCCTTGTCTGACGACAGCCTCGACAGATGCTACCGTTTACTAAAAGAATCTTTGTTGCAACTACATGTTGCCATTCCTCACAACGACTTCGCCCGGATCATTTCCCTCTCAGCCACGACCAAAGATCAAAGGTGACTTGACGCCCAAGCCTGGCAACCCCCCTCATGCCTTAGATGGCAAGGAGGATACCATGGTCCACATGGATATGCTGACTCGTACTGTTATCAGCCTTGCCGCCATGGTCAATCGTAAACCTCTACCTGACAATGCCGCGACGACCTCCCTCAACACCCCCGGCCAGTCCTCAGAAGTGAGCCCACCGTACGAAATACCCTATTCGCTCCGTCCTGGAGGTGCCAATCACCCAGACCAAGCGCCAGCGGACCGTGAAGAGAATGCCTGGGAGGATGCAAACCCACAACTACCATCCATCGTCGAACCCTCCACGCGGCCCCCCGGCATTCCCGAATCCTTGACACCAGGCCACCCACTGTCCACCGAAGTCCAGCCCTCCACATCACCCTCACGATCCGATACGAGTCGATCCGAAACAAATCCATTCAAGCGGCGAGAACTACCACAAACCAGTGCCAGTCATGCAGCTGGCCAATCGTCACAGCCCCTGCCGCTTCCTCCAGCGCCAGCTTTTGCCGACTTGAGCCTGGGCGAAGCGAACACCAATCCATGGCAGCCCGCTTTGGATGAATCAAGCAAGAGTCCACAAGCTGCCGCCTCGACATCGAACAATGCTACTGCCGCGCCCTTACCGCCGCCGTTTCCCGCCGACTTGGGCCAGCCTGCCGAGAGCGGTCCGTGGCAACGCGAGCCTTCTCCCAAGCCTCCGGTGCCACCCATCTCGATGTCTCCCGCGCTGATTTCCATATCTTCCGCCCCCGAGTCTCCAGCTTGGGACGAGGAACCTGAACAGCAGCTGTTGCGGTCGCCCCCTGTCTCCCCGGAAGCTAGCAAAGCGCTTGCCGAGGATCGAAATGTATGGGATGATGGGCTTTCACAGAGCCAGAATGTCAAGGCACCTGTCATGGCCCAGCCGAGTAGCAGTGATGCTGCCATTGACGACTGGAGCCTGATCGATCGCGACACAAGTCTCTCGGCAGACGATACATCCAAGAACAAGACATCCAATCCACCCAACGCCGAAATTAACCAGCACGAGGCACCTGCTCTCCCTCCACGCCGGCCAGCACAGCCAATCCCGCCACGACACTCGCCTCGCCCCGTCGATGGCAAGGCTGAAACGTATCAGATCAAAAACATCAATTGGCACGATCACAAGGCCGGCGCGAACCCGCGCACTTCACCTATTCTCGTGCAAAACGAAAACGGACCATGCCCGCTCGTGGCTCTCGTGAATGCGCTTACCCTCACAACCCCCGCTGAGCTCACCGACACGGCCCTGGTGCAAGTCCTCCGCTCGAGGGAGCAAATCAGCCTCGGACTATTGCTAGATGCTGTGTTTGATGAGCTCATGTCATCGCGACGGACCGAAGAGGGCGGTTCATTGCCTGACGTTGGCGAGCTCTATGCTTTCCTCAAAGGCCTGCATACAGGCATGAACGTCAACCCCCGATTTGTTCCCGATCCAAAGGTGGTCCAGGCTTTTAAGCGTACCTCACTCACTCATCTACACCCCACCGAGCGCAGCGACAGCATGCCGGGCACCTTTGAGGACACAGTCGAGATGTCCTTGTATGCCGCTTTCTCGATCCCACTTATCCATGGTTGGCTGCCAGAAAGCGATGACCCAGTCTGTGAATCATTCGCCCGGCAAGCAGTATCGTACGAAGATACACAAAACATCCTCTTTCGAGAGGAGGAGCTCGAGATGAAGCTTGAGGGGGACGGGTTGACAGAAGATGAACAGCAGCTGTATCAGGACATATTCTCGATCAAGGCGTTTCTTGAGACGTCGGCGACTCAACTCACGTCCTGGGGGCTCGAGGTGATCACAAAGGCCATGAAGCCTGGCATGGTCGCTATCCTGTTTCGAAACGATCATTTCTCCACGCTGTACCGCCACCCACAGACCCTGCAGCTTCTCAGCCTTGTCACAGACGCCGGCTACGCAACCCACGCAGAGGTAGTGTGGGAATCTTTGACCGATGTCAACGGGTTGACCTCCGAATTTCTCTCCGGAGACTTTCGTGTCGTTGGAGGCGCCAGTAATCATCGTGACAGCTTGTCGGCTGGCGGGAACGAGACGCCATGGTACGATACCCCCGGTCCGTCTGGTGCGAGCACGTCTGCTGGCAGTCAAGGCGGGGACTGGACATCGTCACCGGGGCATGGTAGGCAAGGTTCAAATTCGCAGGCTGTCGAAGGAGCCGACACAGAACAGGAGGATCACGACCTGGCGCTCGCCTTACAGCTGCAGGAGGAAGAAAACGAACGTCACCGCTCAGATCAGGCGCGTCGAGACCGGGAGAGGGTGCTGAGCGAACAGTATATCGAGCAACAAGCCCGACAAACGGGACCGGCGAGCAGCACTGGCTCAGGGGTCGGAGCCGGTAGAGGGCTGGGAACCCCCCCAGGTGGCAACCGAGGTCGCGGCGGAGGCAACTCGTCTCTTGTCAGTCCGCGCGGCTCCAGCAACGCGGCCACTTCATCTGGTACACGGCGCCCTAGCGCCGTGGGCCCCTCATCGCCACAGCAAGTCCGGCCACTCGTTCCCCCTGTCGTCCCGCAGCGTAGAGCGCCGGTGTCACGGC